ATGACACTATTGCAAGTGAAGGTATCTTTGTAATATATTGCTGTACCGCCACCTTTTTATTAGGCCTGCAGTTATGAATGGCTTTATAACCAGCTAAATTGTAGAGTTGGGTATAGTCATTACTTAGCCAAGTTTATGTTAAAATGATGAAAGATAATTTAGTACCTAGTGCTGTAAGAAGTGCATTTATATCATCAAAATGTTTACCAAGTGACCTAACATTTTGGTTGTAAACTGATAAGCAGGTGCTATTTAGGAGTTTGTTTTTTGCAAGATTTGCTGTGTAATATCTGCAATAATGATGATCAATGTGCTGATTTGTGTGGATATGGGATTTCGATCAGGATCAATATCAGTAAGCATATAGATAAGATAATGTCACGATACAATAAGATAAGCAATTTCAGGAACAGATGAAAACTAAATCTGCTGTAAAATAGAAAGCAATTATAGCAAAACACAACAATATAATAATATAACAATACAATAAGAGCTTACAAAGTATTGAGTCTGCTAAAATTAGAGAATAATTATGGCAAAACACAACAATAAATGCAAGTAAACAAAAGAATTGAAACAATTAGAGGTAGAATAAAGGTCACTAGATAGCCATGGAGGATACACAAGTTTGGTGGAGAGAACCAATATTATGCTTACCTCTCTCCCCTCTCAGTAGCTGCCGAGACGCCCTGCTGTGAACACTTATATTCATGCACTTGTGTATGTCCCCTCTTAGAGTGTGTGTGTATTGAAGGCCTAGGAGGCAGAGGCGGAGACGGCGGCAGCGGCAGTGGTAAGAAGTTTCCCGTTTGGAAATATACACACTTCAGTCTGTCAACTATCCTTGCTGGGAACATCTTAGCTTTGCTAAATACCACAAACCTTATCGTTTAATCAGGAGAGAGAGAGGGAGAGTGTGAGGGGCCACTGCCGGTGCCACCCAGATGTTCTCACTCTTCTCACCTACTTCACACACCCTTCCCTAACCCTACACCTAAATATATACGATATCCTAGGTCCATGCTCTCATGGTGGACCCCCCCCCCCTCTCCTCCCTGAACATACACAGCTCCATCCTACATACTTTTATTTAACTATAAATCCACATATGAGCTTAACTCTACGCCACATACACTTACACTTTCATCTTATAACTACTACTCCTGCACACCTGTTCCTATACTTACACTTTTTACCCCTCGCGACCCACATCCCTCCCACGAGACCACACCCAGGCGCGCGGAGACACACCCTGCGACCCACAATGGGCCCGCAGGACCACACACACGCCCGCCCCCCAGGGACCATCCCGAACCCTCATGAGACTAGAGACGTGTGTAACACCTGTGCAGGGGCCCAATTGGCTCACCTGCACAGATGTTGCACACGGTTCTAGTCTCAATTTACATTACTCCTGTCCCCCGTGTTGCCGCCCCCTTCCGGGGGTGCGATTGCCCCGTCGGGGGGTGACATGCTTGGCGATGATGACCAGTTTGCTAGTAGTGGTGCACAGACCCGTGGTAACCAGAGTTCTGCCGTGATTCATTCCTGGATAGGGAAAAGGGTCCCGTGCCCGTCGACTGTTAGGATTCTTGCCGCGCGTGTCTGTGTCCAAGATTCCGAATTATATGGCATGCCCTCGTGAACCTGTTGATCCTGATGTGTGGATTTTTTGGGAGGCGTACTGTCTCAGGTTTCCGGTGACGGACTTTCCAGAAAAGTATGAGTAGGAGTGGCGCTTTTGCTTTCGCCTCCCTGTGGTGTGTTTGCTGTAGGCCTGTCTGGCCTCTGGTTGTGTGCTAAAGTTTTGTTTTGTTATGTATTTTGTGTTTTTTGTATTTTTATGTGTGTGTGTGTGGGGTGTGGCTGTGATATTTGTTTCCCGGTTCCTGTGCATTCCTGGTTTGTTCCTATGTGTTTGCGAGTGTGGTTGTTTTTTCGTCATGCCTGGCTCCTGTGTGTGCCAGTATTTGCTTTCTCTGTGTGTATGTGTGTGTGTGTGTGTCATTCTGTTTTGTATTTCCAGGTTCCTACGTGTTCTGGTCCTGTTTTATGTATGTGTTGGCTTTTTGCCCTTTCCATGTGGCCCTTATGGCTTGTTTATACTGAATGTTTCCATGTTCATTGCCATGTTTCCTTTTGTGTTTGTGGTTATGTTTACATGTTTCGTATTTGTGTTTCCTGTTTTGTGCCCTATTTTATGTTTTGTTCTTAATTTGTATGTCTCAACATGTTCTTGTGTTTCTGCTTAAGTACAATGTTTAGTTTTCATTGTACGATTTTTTTTGGCCCTGTTTTGGGTTTGGTTTTTGTTCATTGTGTCTTGCTTTTTTTGTATTTCTTGTACTTACTTTTATAAATAATGTTCTAAACAGCTCGATTCCTGTGTGTTCCGGTCTTGTATTTATGTGTGCGTCAGTTTTTGTACTCTCCATATAGCTCTTATGGATTGTTTTGTCTCAATGTTTCCATGTTCCTTGCTTTGTTTACCTTAATATTTTGTGATGTTGTTTATGTACCATATTTGGTGTGCACTGTAAGATTTTGTAGCCCGGGTATGGGTTTTGTAGCCCGGGTATGGGTTTTGTAGCCCGGGTATGGGTTTTGTAGCCCGGGTATGGGTTTTGTAGCCCGGGTATGGGTTTTGTAGCCCGGGTATGGGTTTTGTAGCCCGGGTATGGGTTTTGTAGCCCGGGTATGGGTTTTGTAGCCCGGGTATGGGTTTTGTAGCCCGGGTATGGGTTTTGTAGCCCGGGTATGGGTTTTGTAGCCCGGGTATGGGTTTTTGTTTCTGTTCATCTGTAATGCTCTTTCTTATTGTATTGTATTTACATTTAGAAAAAAATTCCTTCCCCGAAGTCCATTCTAAATCCTTATTTCTTCTAAGTGCTATATAGTGGTATTGACTTAGCTCATTGTCCTGATAATTACCTTACCCTGCTGTCTTTTGTATTTAATTCATATACAGGTAATATAGATTAGTAATGATTCAGATGTGGAAATTTCCGCATATGGAATGGGTTGTTGAACAGTACTGTTTCCTGTTCATTTAGCGATAGGGGTGGTTCAATTGCCAGTTTCTATAATATTATTACAGTATTTGCCCAGTTGTCTGTGTCCCATTAGTTAAATTTAAATTTTCGGCTTCCAATATTAGGGTTAAGCACACCCTTATTAATTACAATCGGCTGAACTGACATCATTCCGCGAGGTAAATGTCAATACACTGTTCCTCTATGTGAGATCCTCGTGGTCGCCGCCTCCATTACACAAGCACATATTCCTGAGGGCGCTGGGCCTCTCCCTCCCAACACTGCATTTCCGCTTCCAGTTTTAACAAAAACGTTAATCTATATATCTTCCAATGCTTACATGTGTTGTGTTACATATTACGACTGAACGAAGTGTTCCACACTTCAGCATAACTCACATATATTGTGATCCTTCCCTCTATCAAATGCTTGAAATAGTCTGGAAAAAGATGAGTACATTTGGTAAGCAAGAGAGGTCCTTAGTTATATGCATCTATCATCAGTATTGTCAACTCGTCCTCTTCATCCAAACTCTCCTCTCGAATAATGCGTCTTATTTTGACGTCAAAATCCCCTGCGTCAAAATATGATGTACTATACTACAATAGTACTATAATAAATGGCAGCTCGTTAACTTGACAGGATGTAACATTTTATTTGTAACCATCCGTCGGTAGCCTTCGGGTCATAGACGGGAGGCAACACCTGTTGACCTCCACATGATGTTTACAATGTTGGGACTCACACCAACGAGATGCGCGCATCACAGTTATTCTAAGACAGGAAATGGGACGACGTGGAATAAATTTATCAACTCGACAGATCGACTACTCCCCCTCTGAGGGAGGAGGTGGTGTGGGGTTGTGCCAGGCTCCCCTCTGAAGGAGGTGGTGCGGGGTTGTGCCAGGCTCCCCTCTGAGGGAGGAGATGGTGCGGGGTTGTGCCAGGCTCCCCTCTGAGGGAGGAGGTGGTGTGGGGTTGTGCCAGGCTCCCCTCTGAGGGAGGTGGTGTGGGGTTGTGCCAAGCTCCCCTCTGAGGGAGGAGGTGGTGCGGGGTTGTGCCAAGCTCCCCTCTGAGGGAGGAGGTGGTGTGGGGTTGTGCCAAGCTCCCCTCTGAGGGAGGAGGTGGTGCGGGGTTGTGCCAGGCTCCCCTCTGAGGGAGGAGGTGGTGTGGGGTTGTGCCAGGCTCCCCTCTGAGGGAGGAGGTGGTGCGGGGTTGTGCCAGGCTCCCCTCTGAGGGAGGAGGTGGTGCGGGGTTGTGCCAGGCTCCCCTCTGAGGAGGAAGGTGGTGCCAGGCTCCCCTCTGAAGGAGGTGGTGCGGGGTTGTGCCAGGCTCCCCTCTGAGGGAGGAGGTGGTGCGGGGTTGTGCCAGGCTCCCCTCTGAGGGAGGAGGTGGTGTGGGGTTGTGCCAGGCTCCCCTCTGAGGGAGGTGGTGTGGGGTTGTGCCAAGCTCCCCTCTGAGGGAGGAGGTGGTGCAGGGTTGTGCCAAGCTCCCCTCTGAGGGAGGAGGTGGTGTGGGGTTGTGCCAAGCTCCCCTCTGAGGGAGGAGGTGGTGTGGGGTTGTGCCAAGCTCCCCTCTGAGGGAGGAGGTGGTGTGGGGTTGTGCCAGGCTCCCCTCTGAGGGAGGAGGTGGTGCGGGGTTGTGCCAGGCTCCCCTCTGAGGGAGGATGTGGTGTGGGGTTGTGCCAGGCCTGATCAACCAGGCTGTGACTTACCTGATCAACCAGGCTGTGACTCATACGTCAGGCTGCGAGCAGCCGCGTCTAACAGCCTGGTTGATCAGTCCAGCAACCAGGAGGCCTGGTCGACGACCGGGCCGCGGGGACACTAAGCCCCGGAAGCACCTCAAGGTAGCCTCAAGGTAGGCTGCCCTCTGAGGGAGGAGGTGGTGCGTGGTTCTGGTACAAAAATAAGCACTGATTTTTTTTTTAATGAGAATATATAATAATGAATGTATTTTGTGTGGCAGGTTAGCGTGAATGGAACAGTGGTGAGGCTGCCGTACATCAGGAGGACAGTGAGTGTGAAGCGCGACCTCCATCACTTGGTGGTGCGCGCCAGGGACCTGACGGAGCGGGACGTGGTCACGCTCACCTGCTGGAGCCCTCACCACGCCTGTGTGGTCAGCGTCAGCGGCTGGCTCCACGCTCACACCAGGGGACTCCTCGGCAACCTCAACCTGGATCCATCAGATGATTTCATGCGACCTAGTGGAAAGGTCAGCCAGACAATTGTTCTTACTGCATTATGTTTTATGTTTATCTTTCACATTTGAACAATGGTGGGATCCGAGCACATGATCACAGGACTGGTAAGCAGGAGGATATAAATACTGGAAATATTGTTTAAGCATTCAGAGATAGGGAGATGAGGGAGTACACAGTAAAGACCCAACCACTTTGTTACTGATATATATATATATATATATATATATATATATATATATATATATATATATATATATATATATATATATATATATATATATATATATATATATATATATATATATATATATATATATATATATTATTAAATATGACCGAAAAAGTATGATTAATAATTCTAACACGAATTTTCTCGATCTTTCGTACGTTTCTTTTCACTGTTGGTGGTAATTCAAAAATCAATTCTCCAAAATTCATTTTTATTTCTAGTCTGACGCGACACTTGAGCGCGTTTCGTAAAACTTATTACATTTTCAAAGACTAGTTTACACATACACAACTGAATAGAACTTACACATCTTCGATTTGTTTATATCTACATTTGAGTGAGGTGGATGGGGTGAGGTGGTATTAACAGGGTATTAAATTCCTAAACACAAGACAGAACACGAAACAATGGGTATTGAATGGAAGTGATTGTAGAAAGCCTACTGGTCCATATTTCTTGATGCTTCTATATTGGAGCGGAGTCTTGAGGTGGGTAGAATATAGTTGTGCATTAATTGGCTGTTGATTGCTGGTGTTGACTTCTTGGTGTGTAGTGCCTCGCAGACGTCAAGCTGCCTGCTATCGCTGTATCTATCGATGATTTCTGTGTTGTTTACTAGGATTTCTCTGGCGATGGTTTGGTTGTGGGAAGAGATTATATGTTCCTTAATGGAGCCCTGTTGCTTATGCATCGTTAAACGCCTAGAAAGAGATGTTGTTGTCTTGCCTATATACTGGTTTTTTTGGAGCTTACAGTCCCCAAGAGGGCATTTGAAGGCATAGACGACGTTGGTCTCTTTTAAAGCGTTCTGCTTTGTGTCTGGAGAGTTTCTCATGAGTAGGCTGGCCGTTTTTCTGGTTTTATAGTAAATCGTCAGTTGTATCCTCTGATTTTTGTCTGTAGGGATAACGTTTCTATTGACAATATCTTTCAGGACCCTTTCCTCCGTTTTATGAGCTGTGGAAAAGAAGTTCCTGTAAAATAGTCTAATAGGGGGTATAGGTGTTGTGTTAGTTGTCTCTTCAGAGGTTGCATGGCGTTTCACTTTCCTTCGTATGATGTCTTCGACGAAACCATTGGAGAAGCCGTTGTTGACTAGGACCTGCCTTACCCTACAGAGTTCTTCGTCGATTTGCTTCCATTCTGAGCTGAGGCTGAAAGCACGGTCGACATAAGCGTTAACAACACTCCTCTTGTACCTGTCTGGGCAGTCGCTGTTGGCATTTAGGCACATTCCTATTTTCGTTTCCTTAGTGTAGACTGCAGTGTGGAAACCTCCGCTCTTTTCAATGACTGTTACATCTAGAAAGGGCAGCTTCCCATCCTTTTCCATCTCGTAAGTGAAACGCAGCACGGAACTCTGCTCAAATGCCTCCTTCAGCTCCTGCTGATGTCTGACATCTGAACAACCTTCCCACAACCAAACCATCGTCCTAGTAAGAAATCCTAGTAAACAACACAGAAATCATCGATAGATACAGCGATAGCAGGCGGCTTGACGTTTGCGAGGCATTACACATCAAGAAGTCAACACCAGCAATCAACAGCCAATTAATGCACAACTATATTCTACCCACCTCAAGACTCCGCTCCAATATAGAAGCATCAAGAAATATGGACCAATAGGCTTTCTACAATCACTTCTATTCAATACCCATTGTTTCATGTTCTGGCTTGTGTTGATGAAATTAATACCTTATTAAATACCACCTCACCCCATCCACCTCACTCAAATGTACAAAATCGGAGATGTGTAAGTTCTATTCAGTTGTGTATGTGTTAACTAAAGTCTTTGAAAATGTAATAAGTTTTACGAAACGCGCTCAAGTGTCGCGTCAGACTAGAAATAAAAATGAATTTTGGAGAATTGATTTTTGAATTACCTCCAACAGTGAAAAGAAATGAACGAAAGATTGAGAAAATTCGTGTTAGAATTATTAATCTTACTTTTTCGGTCATATTTAATAATATATATATATATATATATATATATATATATATATATATATATATATATATATATATATATATATATATATATATATATATATATATATATATATATATATATGTCTTACCTAGTAGCCAGAACTCACTTCTGAGCCTACTATGCAAGGCCCGATTTGCCTAATAAACCAAGTTTTCATGAATTAATTGCTTTTCGACTACCTAACCTACCTAACCTAACCTAACTTTTTCGGCTACCTAACCTAACCTAACCTATAGAGATAGGTTAGGTTAGGTTAGGTAGGGTTGGTTAGGTTCGGTCATATATCTACGTTAATTTTAACTCCAATAAAAAAAATTGACCTCTTACATAATGAAATGGGTTGCTTTATCATTTCATAAGAAAAAAATTAGAGAAAATATATTAATTCATGAAAACTTGGCTTATTAGGCAAATCGGGCCTTGCATTGTTGGCTGAAAAGTGAGTTCTGGCTACTAGGTACGACATATATATATATATATATATATGTCGTACCTAGTAGCCAGAACTCACTTTTTGGCCTACTATTCAAGGCCCAATTTGCCTAATAAGCCAAGTTTTCCAGAATTAATATATTTTTTCTATTTTTTTTCTTATGAAATGATAAAGCTACCCATTTCATTATGTATGAGGTCAATTTTTTTTATTGGAGTTAAAATTAACGTAGATATATGACCGAACCTAACCAACCCTACCTAACCTAACCTAACCTATCTTCATAGGTTAGGTTTGGTTAGGTAGCCGAAAAAGTTAGGTTAGGTTAGGTTAGGTAGGTTAGGTAGTCGAAAAACAAATAATTCATGAAAACTTGGCTTATTAGGCAAATCGGGCCTTGCATAGTAGGCTGAGAAGTGCGTTCTGGCTACTAGGTACGACATATATATATATATATATATATATATATATATATATATATATATATATATATATATATATATATATATATATATATATATATATATATATATATATATATATATATATATATATATATATATATATATATGTCGTACCTAGTAGCCAGAACTCACTTCTCAGCCTACTATGCAAGGCCCGATTTGCCTAATAAGCCAAGTTTTCATGAATTAATGTTTTTTCGTCTACCTAACCTACCTAACCTAACCTAACCTAGCTTTTTTTGGCTACCTAACCTAACCTTACCTATATATATAGGTTAGGTTAGGTTAGGTAGGGTTGGTTAGGTTCGGTCATATATCTACGTTAATTTTAACTCCAATAAAACAAAATTGACCTCATACATAGTGAAAAGGGTAGCTTTATCATTTCATAAGAAAAAAATTATAGTAAATATATTAATTCAGGAAAACTTGGCTTATTAGGCAAATCGGGCCTTGAATAGTAGGCTGAGAAGTGAGTTCTGGCTACTAGGTACGACATATATATATATATGTCGTACCTAGTAGCCAGAACGTCGTACTCGGCCTACTATGCAAGGCCCGATTTGCCTAAGTAGCCAAGTTTTCATGAATTAATTGTTTTTCGACTACCTAACCTACCTAACCTAACTTTTTCGGCTACCTAACCTAACCTAACCTATAAAGATAGGTTAGGTTAGGTTAGGTAGGGTTGGTTAGGTTCGGTCATATATCTACGTTAATTTTAACTCCAATAAAAAAAATTGTCCTCATACATAATGAAATGGGTAGCTTTATCATTTCATAAGAAAAAAATTAGAAAAAATATATTTTAAGGAAAACTTGGCTTATTAGGCAAATCGGACCTTGCATAGTAGTATATATATATATATATATATATATATATATATATATATATATATATATATATATATATATATATATATATATATATATATATATATATATATGTTGTGCCTAGTAGCCAGAACGCACTTCTCGGCCTATTATGCAAGGTCCGATTTGCCTAATAAGCCAAGTTTTCCTGAATTTAAATATTTTACAATTTGTTATGAAATGATAGAGATATCCATTTCATTATGTATGAGTTAATTTTGTTAAATTAAGGTTAAAACTAACGTAGATATATGACCGAACCTAACCAACCCTACCCAACCTAACCTATCTTAACCTAACCTAAACTGACGAAATTAAATCAATAATTCACGTTCTTAATATCAAATAATAATAATATTTAAAAAAAAACAAAAAGGAAACAATTTTTTGAAAATAAAGAAAATCACTCGGCCTATTAGGCAAATCGGGCCTTGCATAGTAGGTCGAGAAGTACGTTCTGGCTACTAGGTACGACATATATATATATATATATATATATATATATATATATATATATATATATATATATATATATATATATATATATATATATATATATATATATATGTCGTACCTAGTAGCCAGAACGCACTTCTCGGCCTACTATGCAAGGCCCGATTTGCCTAATAACCCAAGTTTTCCTGAATTAATATATTTTCTCTAATTTTTTTCTTATGAAATGATAAAGCTACCCATTTCATTATGTATGATGTCAATTTTTTTTATTGTTGTTAAAATTAACGCAGATATATGACCGAACCTAACCAACCCTACCTAACCTAACCTATCTTTATAGGTTAGGTTGGGTTAGGTAGCCAAAAAAGTTAGGTTAGGTTAGGTAGGTTAGGTCGTCGACAAAACATTAATTCATGAAAACTTGGCTTATTAGGCAAATCGGCCCTTGCATAGTAGGCTGAGAAGTGCGTTCTGGCTACTAGGTACGACATATATATATATATATATATATATATATATATATATATATATATATATATATATATATATATATGTCGTACCTAGTA